AGACCGACAGCGATCCTTTGAATGTTGGAGTACGTGCTCCACTTTGCAAGGGCCAACAAGGCACGCTCATCACGCAGGGAATGATATGAAGTAGCGGCTTGGGTTTGCTTTCGGGAGGCCCTGGGAAGCTGGTTGCGTCTAGTTGGTTTCAAGATGAAGTCCCGACGGAAGATCGGAATATTCCGGTTGGGTCCCTTTTCCTTCTGCGCCTTGGTGAGTGAAGCTACTGCGTAGTTTGTGCCGGCCGTTAGGCAGGATGCAGAGAGCCACGAAGCAGCCAGCAAAGACGACAGCCTTCTTCTGCGAATGAGGATCTGTGTCACTTCCCACAGGTAAAGGGATCCCACTACATCCAGAGACGTTGACAGCACAGTCCGGGGAGTGCTCGACTGCAAGACGCTAACACAACCTCGCTCCAGATAGGATACCTCACCAACTTGCGTCTGGACAAACTGAAGTACACCAGACTGTCAGGTTAAATCAGTAGCATCAGCTTCTCACGGCCGAGTTCGCGGCGTGAGCTGCTCCTGGACTTGACGAAGCACGTCGAAGAGGCAGCAAACAGCGTCCTTGCCGGCTGAGGTCGCAAGCGTGTTGGCCAGAGGATGAGTCCCGTGTGGATACGCCAAGCACATGGCCACGGGAAGCCAGGAACTCAGCTGCGACCTGAACGAAGGATGCTTTTCGAGGATCAGAACCGGTCTGAGTGGCCCCGATTACAGGCCGCAGTCTGTTTTGGCTCACAGAGCCCAAGGTGAGACCGGAACGCAGGGCTTTTCCAGCATGGTTGCCTTGCTTCTGCTCATTCCCTGATGCGCCTGTTTCATCACATACAAGTGTAAGACCCTGCTATACATCCACATCCTCGACTTTCGCGGAAGCTCAAGAATCACCCGAGTGAAAGCTGAAGAGTTGCGGTCGGTTAAACTGTCACCCCCTCCCCCCCCGCCCTCCGAACGATACGGCAGAGGCCGAGGGGAGCACGAGAGCCGTGTCAGCAGGGCCAACACCTGCTGGTCCAACGAATGCTAGCACTGTCGTTGGCTGCCAATCAGCTCCTCGCTGGGTACCGTGCCAGTAAGCAGGAATGCCAGTGCCCAGGATCCTTCAAATATTCTCGAAACCTCAGTCATCGCCCTACTATCTCTGGGATCCAAGTGACAGGCACCCCGGGCACCCCGCAGGCGCCAGAGCAGTGGACAAATATGTTTCGGGTAAAGGTCGCAGAGCTCCGCCAAGATGTCGCAGAGGAGCACCTCGCACAAGAGCGAGAACCGCATTTGCAGGTGCCTTTCAACCATTTAAAGCTGCATGGAGCTGACCCACTGGCCACAAGAAACTGACTGCACCACTCTGTTGACCTTTGAGACTGCAGTCAGGTGCTTCACGAGAGTTGCAGTTGGCCTCCAGCTCGCCTAAAGCCACATTGGGCATTGGGGCCATGTGCCCAAAAGCCTTTGTGATGCATGTCGCGGCACGCACCAAAAGCTGGCAGCAATGACATCAGGTGACGGGCAAACTCTAAATGCACCAAGCCAGCTCAATAGAAAGTCGGGAACAACGGACGCCAAAGCCCGCGCTTGGTCTGACATGTCGAAGGCAGGGCAGCTTCGCCTGAGATTCAAGAAGCAGACAGGAACCAACACACATGAAGTGCTACATGTGGATACGGCACATGATTCGAAGGCTAAGCAAAGCCCTTTCCCAAGCTCGGCAACAAAGACACCCCTAAGCTCTTCCGCACGGCTAGGCTCAGCACGCAGAGTCGCTACCCGCACTGAAGCTCAAAGCCTGTACGGGAGAATCGCAGATGCTCCGATGCCAACATGGGTTTGGCAAGGCGCTCGGCAGCCTTGCTATGGAGCAGCTGTGGGAGCAGCAGAGTAGTAGCCAACCTCAGCTTGCCGGGAGCGGAGAGCGGAGGCAAAGGTGAGCGCCAGTTCGTCGAATCTTTGCGGCCCGGACTCCAGGACCTCCAGGGAAGGCTGCTCTGGCACCAAAGGACCGGAAGCGAGACCTCCGCAAGAGGCCGAGTATCCTGCCTCTCAAGCTATCCTGAAAGCGAGCAAAGGCCAGGGACACCAGATCCGCACGGTTCTCTCTGCTCTGCTTGTCTCATAGGATGAGCTTGTCAGCAATGTCACTTCTACGCTGGCGAGACCGAAACGTTCCAGTCACGTGGTGAAATCGCGAAGAGGCTTCTGTTCAACAGGACGACCCCAAAGCGACAAGGAGAGGGAGCCGGGAGCTAGTGCTTGTCTTTGCACCGCGAAGAAGCCTGAGCAGAGCTCGTTTCGGGGAACCAAGCCTCCAGTGCCTAGGCGGCGCAAAGCTGATTGCCACCTGGCAAAAGGTCAGGAGGTCAGGCTTTGTATCCGAGCCTTACTAGTAAAACCTCCTCGTGACGAAGCTGCATCACTGGGAGGTGGCTCGTGATTCAAGTGCAGTGTCCAGTGGAGTGGTTCCGATCAAAAACTGAAATCTGCGCGGGCATGGCAAGACCGACTTTGACAAAGTGATTGGGGACAGCATCTTGTGGAGCATCAAACGCCAACAGTTCTGACGACAGCCTCTGAAAAAAAGAATCAGATGGCCTTAGCAGCTTGTGCCGCCGGATCCTTGGCAGACAGTGGCTTTTAGGTCGAGGGTTTTGAGCTCCGGCGTGCTACTTCGAAAAACTTAACAAGTGTCCCATGAAATCCTACTGACTCTGCGACTGCGCAATATGCAGACAGGGACAAACAAATCGCCATCCCCGTGTCAGGCTCATGGCGACTGATGCGTGAGGAGTTTGACAACAAGGGATTATCGTACCCACGTCTTGAAGCTGGCATCCAGAAGCTTGCTTGCCGACACATGGAAGCAGAGCGCTGCATCAGTCCGACTCATGCATTGCCACGCAACTGAAGACAATCTCCATAAATAAGGCTTCGCACATCACAACATGTAAAGTCACTGCATCTCTTTTTGATGCAGCTCCGAGAAGGTTGTACAAGCGAGCCGCAGTATGCCATGCCTACCCCAGTATGCCATGCCTACGGGCGGCGGGAGCGGCGGGAGGGCATGCTTCAGCCGTACATGAGTTTCAATGCTCAGCCTTACTTTACCAAGGCTTCGCACATCACAACATGTAAAGTCGCTGCATCTCTTTTTGCTGCAGCTCCGAGAAGGTTGTACAAGCGAGCCGCAGTATGCCATGCCTACCCCAACTAACCCAACTGTACCAGGCTAGAAGCTCGATCGTAGGCAGGACCGGGAAACCAAAGCGAACCAGGTAGTTGCTGGATAGCCGTTGCTGTGGAAAACCTCCGCAGTAGCGAGCATATCCGGAAAAAGACGCATCGTCTCCAAAATGCGCTGGGCGATATCGTCCGGCAGCCGAGGCAAAAACAGAATAGAGGACACCTCCTGCACGTAGATCTCCATAATTTTCTGATTTAGCCAGCGGCCTCGCCTCCTGACGAGCTCGCCGTTCTCTGTTGTCTGTAGCAGCCACGTCGCGCCGCCAGCACGCAACGAACCCAAGTCAAGCGGCTTCACCACGTGAGGGGGGATGGTATCCAGCCCAAAAGCGGCCCCCAGCTTAAAGAAGCGTTGCCTAAAAGTGCCCGGCGACATCGGCCACAACTTCTGGTGAGGGCTCTTCTGCTTGAAAGCCAGTTCAATAGTCCTCATAAGCTGCGGCTGGTCGACCCGCAGAGCTTGGTGTCGCGCTGCAGTAAACCTCGTCTTAGGCTCTCGACCGTTTGATCGACGTCGCTGGGGAGAACAAGGTCAGCCCGCACAGCGCTGAACAGTTCTCCGATCCTCGCCAGGCCTCCCCAAGCCAGGGCAAGGATTCCTGCGACATCCAGCCATCCCCACAGCAAACAAGCAGAAAGCAAAGCCAGGAGTACCTGCCAGAGCATCGCCTGGTGATGGATGTGAGGCTCTAGCCTCTACCATTGGAAAGCAACATCCCACGCTGGCTGGAGCAGTCTCCTAATTCTTGGGTTCTTCGAGGAGAGGGCATTGACGGTCTCGGCGTAGTGGTTGTAGGGGCGGCCGGCCTGATAAAGTGCTCTGCCGTAGTGCGACAGAATAGCATTTATATCGTCGACGTCAGGGATGCCACAGGATTCGAAGAAATCTTGTGGTATGCCCTGATCTCGCGCCCAGCCCATAAAAATCTTCCACAGAGCGTCTCTCAAGGTCTGTGTGCTCTTCTCGACCGGCCGGCCTTCGGGGAGCGGCCTCTCCCTCCTCACTTCCAGTCGGGCCTGGTCGCCCTTGTTCCTGGTTCCCAGATCTCCATGGCGGCACTGCGCAGCTGAGCTAGAACCGAAGCCGAAGCCCAGCCAAACCCAGAACCCCAGGACCCTGAAAGAAACTGGTGGGAAAGGACCTTCGCCGGGAAAGCCAAGGGAGGAATCGAAGTCCATCGGAGGAGGTCGGTAAAGAAGGGCTGGCAGAAGACCAAAACGATCGTGCAAGGAAGGTGGACTCCAAGGTCTGAGCCTCAACACCAGCCTGGCCCAGTTGGCGGCCCAGCGTCGCAGTCGGGGAAGAGAAGCAAGGGCCTCAAGGTGCTCATGGTCCACAAGGTGAGGGCCAGGAACGGGTTCCGGTATATCAGTCTCGCGGGACGGCCCATCTGCTGGCATGGCATAAGCCGGGTTGGGGCAAAAGGCAGAGCCCCGTACAACCCAAAACCTAAAGACAGGGCAGCTATCTGCTTAAGCTCTTTGTTGGAGTCGATAAGAGACACAAGTCTCACCTGAACCCGGGATCGGGCCTGCATCATACAAAGCCCTGTCTCTAGCACATTGATGTGGCGTGGTGCTGGCCAGTTCCACGCTGCTCGCGGGCGCCATAACAGCGACTGAGCGACATCATTGACCAGCGGGCTCTCGAGCCCAAAAGCCTCAAGCTCGTGATGCAGCCGGCGCTCCCGAAGGGCAAGAAGGCCTCGAGAGAAAACCTCGGCGAGCGCGTCGCGATACTTCGTAGCTCTGGGAGCTGGTAGCTCATCGCCCTCACCGGGCTGGGCATCATAGCCAGGGGAGGCGGTCTCCAGGGCCCGTGCAGGAAGGCCGGTGGAGAGAGTCAGCAGAGAAGCAGGGCCAGGACCCGTGGGCTCACGGTGTGTTCTAACCTGAAGGACACCTCCCCCACACGCAGCAGCACGCCAAGCCGGTAGGTAAGGTGCCGTTGAGTTGCCCGGACAGACAATCATACATGCAGAACCGACCCGACGAGCGACTCTGAAGACCAAAAGGGCCCGGAGCAGGAGCTTGGTGTCTCGAAGGGTCCGGGCAGACCTAGTGTCACCGAAAGGTTTCCTGGCGGCGCGGAGAGGCGGCACACGCGCCGCGGAAAAAGAGGGCCCGGGAGGCCAGATGGCCAAAGCATCCAGGCGGCCAGCCTCAAGCATGTGAAGCAGCCAGTTGAGCAGGAAAGGCTCGCAAAGATCAAAATGTGGAGAAAACTCGCTCAATGCTGATAGCATAGTAGTCGTCGAAAACCAAACCCTCAACTAAAGAACCCGAGGGGAAAAGCTTCCCGGCTTGGACCTCGGTGGTCGGCGAGAGCAAACCTGATTCCTGAAGAAGCGCCCTGTGCGAACCCGTGGCTATCTCAACCCCCAAGTGGTCGAGTTGAAAGATGGCCGCGAAGCATGGGACAACCTCCCGCTGCGCAGGGGGACCAACCAGCAAGCTAGATCGGCCTGAGGGGCGACCCTGTCCCGGCAGCGGCGGCCTGAGTTGGTGGTAAAAATCCTTTCTGTCGGTGACCGCTATGCGTAGGGTGTCCCGGGCAGGGTTCAGACAAAAGGCCCAAGAGGCACGGTCCTCTCAGCCCTCTTTCCCGGTAGCTTCTAGCACGGCGATCTCCTATCTGCCGATCGCACTCGACGCTTTTAAAAGCGTTAAAGACCCGAACGGAGTCCTGTCGGTCGACCTGGTCTCCGTAGCCATCCTTGAGGTACAACAGGCCTAGGCTTGCCCACTTGAGCGCGAGCTTCTCGATTTCGGCCCGCTTCTCCCGGGAGAGGTCAGGCACGGCATCAGGAAGAGGAGCGGCACCATGCAACAGCACATTGGGCTCCAAGCAGGCAATCTGCAAATCCGGATGGCCCTCGAGGTAGGGGACAGGATCCCACGCGCCACGGCCTGTGATCTTGAGGCGGTCGGAGTTCAGGCTGGTGTAAGGTCGAAGAGGAGTGCCTGCACTGGCAGTTTTCCAACCATCGGCCAAGCCCGAAGGATCAAAGGCCGAAGGGGAAGCAGAGGGGGGACCAGTGGGTCCCGAAGAAGGAGCCGGGGGGCCATAAGGATCCGACCCCGGCCCCAGCTCGGTAAGCTGCTCAGAAAGCTCCCCAAGGTTGCGCGTTTCGGCGCCCAGACGAGCTCACTGCAAATGGCTCGACCCCACCGCAGGCCTGGTACAGGCGGGTAACATAAGAGATGGCCCGGGTCTGTGCCGCGTTCGGCCGGTGGAGAGAGGGTCGTGGCGCCCAATTCGGAGGCGTCAGGCCCCCGAACGCTCTGAGTCGCGGATTCGCACTCTGAGGCCGGCGCTGGAACAGCTGGTGAGGTGGATCCTCCAGGAGGCTGAGAAGGTAAGCCACCTCCCAGGATCCCCCGTCCTGGGCACTTTGCTCGATCGCTATCAGGCTGAGTGCCGTGAGCTCCTCGGCTCCGGCCACATCGCCGGAAATAAGCAGCCAAAAGACTATCCTTTGGGACCTAAAATACCTAAAACCTCCGAATCGCTCGCCGTACGTGGTGGTGAAGACAGAGCGGCGGGAGGACAGCTCCTCTCGGCTGGTCGGCAGGGCCTCTGAAGGGGAGAGCCTCCTTAGCGCTTGCTGAGACACCTGGAGCAAAAAGTTTCCGTTGCCCTGGGCCAGCTGCTCCTGAAGGCGCTCTCTCTTCGAAGAGCCCCGGCTCCGAGGGAGGAGGTCATGGTGCCCGACAGGCCCGGATCGATCCCATCTCCCTGGGCAATCAAGTGCGACACCAGCGAGCCGAGGGCCCGGGACTGCTGCAGCATAGCCTCCGCTATCGGATTTTGCTGGCAGGGCGATCTCGTCCTCGCGAGCTGGCTTTTGACGGGGAGGAGGAGGCACAAGGACGGGTGCCCTGACCTTGGAGGAACTCCCCACTAAACCACCTAGGGTGCTTAGGGGGGCTCCGGCAGGGGTCGTGATAGGGAAAGCCTGGCGGTGCGCTGCGGCAGGAGGCGAGGGCACGTTGCCTCTCGAAGAGGCTCTGCAGTAGCTGGGCCAGGCTTGGAAGCAGGGTCATCATCGACTCCAGCTGCTCCATCACTTGGGCGTTGGTAGCCCTTTTCGCCTTGGCCGGCTTTCGTTTTTGTGGCTCCTCCCCCTGCTCCTTCTTTGCCGGATCGGCCTCCTCTGCTGCAGAGTAGAAGGCCAGCCTTTCGCCAGTGAGGGTCCGGACCCAGTCTAGGGCGACCCGAAGAGCGTCCTGGCACAAGACCAGCATATGAGGCGATCCGCTCACAAAAGGCGAGGCCTTCGAGGGGGATGTTACTGGATCGTAACGCCCCAGGTAACCCATGACCTCCGCACCTGAGTCGATGAGGAGCACAGTGGCGGTCTCCCCGTTGGCATTGATCTGCCCATCCTCCTCCTCTTCGCCGGTTGCCACGACTCGCACGAGGGCCCGATCAGAGAGTCGGGGGGACCATCGAGGCCTGCTTTCAAGAGCCCTCCATCTAGAAAACCCAAAGGAATCACAGCTAGGAAGCCGCCTTCGCGAAGCAGCAAAGGGGTGATGACACAGGACCGGGGAGGTACATCGGGCCAGTCCATTACCAGGCAACCTGAGTCGCCAGGAAAGTCCAGAAACTTCTTCACTAGTTCCATGCTTGGCGGTCGGGGAACTCCACGCCTGCGGCCTTTGCAAACAGCCGGCTCTCGCCCTCCGTAGGGAACCCGTGGCACACGCAGTCACTTCCTTCCTAAGGGCCCGGTGTACTGCTTGAAAAGGGCAAAAGAGGTGAAGTAGCGGACCGTGCGGTCGCCGCGGCACAAAAGAACAATATAACACCTGCTACGCACGGCCAAGTGCGGGGTGGCGTTCGGGAAGTCTTGCTCGGCACGGAGCACGGCGCCTGCCTGGAGACCTGCCTCCCAAGCACGGGGGGCACGAGGGGCCCTATCAGCAACACGCATGGAAGCAACAAGGAAAAGACCGTCGCTAGGCAAAGGATCACCGAGGACAGGATGAGGAGGAACCCGGGACGAAGAAGCAGGAGGTGCCTGAGGGCCCTGAGAAGGCCGCGAGGGGGCAGAGCCCGGAGCAGAGGAGGCCAAAGAAGGGCCTGAAGGGGAGGAGCCGGAAAGCTCGGCAGACACAAGGTCCCAGCCGTTGCTAGGATCGTCCTCGAGCTCTTCGAGAACAGCCCTCAAGGAATCCACAGCAGAGCGGATTGTATCAACAATCCCCCTACTCATGCAGATAGGCCCGTGGCTCAGTGATGCAGGCCTAGGAACTGGAGCAGGAGGAGCCGGAGGCTCGGAAGCAAAAGCGGCCTGGGCCACAGGGGTGAGGAGAATTCCACGGAAAAGGAAGATCCCCAGCAGAAGTCCAAAGCAGGCCCCACAAAAGGCAGCCAGAAGGAGGACGAGCAGCGAACCGCTGCAATGCGAGGGACAGCCCAAACCCCACCAGTTGGAATTAGAGCCCTGAACCACAAAGCCCAGGAGCCCGCTCAGATCCATCATGCTTCAGCCGTACATGAGTTTCAATGCTCAGCCTTACTTTACAGTGTTGGGGCGTGAGCTGTTCACAACAGGAACACAAAAGCAGCAGCAGCTGCGGCCGTAGGCTAACATCTTTGCAACTCCTGCGGCAAGACAACCGAACTTTCACCAGCTGCTCACGACCAGGCAGATGTAGCCAAATCGCTGAACACCGCAAGCGGCCGCTTCAGTTTGCCAACACCCGTGCACATATCACCTACCATGGACTCGTCTGAGACTGCACCAACCCTTGAGCCGTCAACTTGAAATCATGGACCTGGCGTGGTGACTGCTCAAGCAGCCAGCAGGAAACTCTCGTCATCAAAGCATAGCCGCCATTCGCATGTTCCAAAGCTGAAGCTGCGATTCAGAAATGAGTCTCACAGGCCAAACTCGACAGTGGATCAAGGCAACACAACCACGTCTCTTCAGCAAGCGAATGAAACTTGCGCCAAAACCGCCAACATCAATGCTGCCAGCAGCACACTCGGCCCCCTGTGCTTCAACTTACTCCGGACGTTGTCACTGGACGTTCATACAGCCAAAGAAAGCTTTGGCATCAAAGCAGGGCCGCCAGTCGTCCAAGCAACGCGGCAACGTGTCTTCAGACTGCATCTTCAACGAACACTCAGATACAGCCAAGGGAGGTGTTGTCATCTTGCGAGACACCAGGCTACCTGCCGCTGCACCAACACCGCCAACATCAATGCTGCCAGCAGCACACTGGCAACCTGAGCATCAACTTGAAACCGTACAGAACTCCTGACGTTGTCACTGGATGTATGTACAAAGAAAGCTTTGTCATCAAAGCAGGGCGGCCGTAACAAGACTCGCCAGTCGTCCAAGCAACGCGGCAACGTCTCTTCAGCAAGCGAATGGACGAACACTCAGATACAGCCAAGGGAAGTGTTGTCATGTTGCGAGACACCAGGCTATCTGCCGCTGCGCCAACACCGCCAACATCAGTGCTGTCCGCAGCACACTCGGCACCCTGTACATCAACTTGAAACCGTACAGTACGCCGGACGTTGTCCCTGGATGCTGAGACAGCCACAGGGAGCCTTGTCATCAAAGCAGGGCCGCCCCAACAAAACTCGCCAGTCGTTCAAGGCAACACGGCAACGTCTCTTCAGCAAGCAAAAGGAACTTGTCGTACCTATGTAATTATCTGCAGCGAACACTCAGATACAGCCAAAGGAGTCAAAAAGCACACAACGGAAGGGTTCGACCTGCTAAGCTGGTAGCCAAATGCAGCTGAGCCCGGCGCTCTGTCGGTGCCTGGTCAGAGAGGCCCTCGAGCAGATTCATCCTCGGTTCTGGCAGGGCAGATAGCACAGGCCTCTGGAGCTTCTGAGGAATCGGCGTTACAGCGGGGTCTTCCTCCTCCTCCCCCGGGGGAGGCTCCAGTGGCAGGCCTGCACTTGGCACCAAAGGAAGGGCGTCTACAACTCCCAACAAAGTACTCGCCCCGTCGCCTGGATGCAGACCGATAAACTGCTGAAACACCTATCATGAGCGTTTGCGGAGCAAGATCTTCGCAGCGTCGCAAAGCCGATCTTGGGAGCCCAGCATCTTGAAAGCTCTCCAGCTCATTCTGGTCGTCATCGTGGATCTGGCACGAGACTCGAGTTGACCACGGGCAGGTAGGCAGATATCCAGAAAATGATACGACGGACAGATGTGAGCCTTTCAGCCTGGAGCTCTGACCCGCCCAAGTGAAGCTTCCAGACCAAGGACGTCTCCGATGCCGACCATTCTTGAAGGCAACGAAGTCCCCAGCCACAAAGGCCGGTTCGCCCAAGGCACCTGAAGTTCCTCGAAGTTGAAGACGACACCGAGCGATGCCAACTTCCGACTGTCCTGACCAATGCTGGCAGGGTTCTTCTACCTCTAGCGGTCAAAGCTAGCTCAGATATCAATAGCTCAGGAAGCTTCGCTTCAGATCAAACGGCGCTAGATGGCTCTCTGCTGACATTGACATGAGCATCACTGAGCTTGTGAACATCCAGCCATGTGGCACCAGCCGGTCAAGCAGAGGGGATTCACGATACCCTACCTGTCAAGACGGCTCCTGCTCCAGCTTACACAGCATGACTCCGACGTGCTGCGTTGAGCGCCGAGTGAGAATCGCATGGTGGCGTGCCTAAGCTGCTGCCGTGAGCTACGCAAACTGCCTTTGCTTTGATTTTGCCAGCATGCCTGAGCATAGAGGAAGGCAGACGAATATCTGGGACTGTGGCTCTGAGCAGGTCCTGGAGATCAACAGACCTAGGTCGTAGGTTCGAAACTGCAGGATTCTGCGAGGTGCTATTGAGTTTCATGTCACGGAATGACGAGAAATCCTTACCGAGAATGCATGCCCATGTTTTGGCGAACTTGCGCTCAAGGCAACCACCATCGCGAGCACACGCCGATTGCTCATGTTGAACGGTTCAGGGAGCCATGCATCGCGTCCTGATCCAGAAAGTTGGCAGCCTGGCAACACATCCGCTTGCATCAGAACACTCTGTAGGCTTTAATCGAAGCTCGACAACTGATTCTACCGGTCGAGCCTTCACAATGGCCTCAAGCCATGTTCGGAGCTTCGGAACAAATGTGCCGACCAGCACCTGGCAGGGAGAAACGCGGCGACCGCAATATCCCCGAGAGGAAGAGAAAGCAACAGATGTGGCGTGACTCTACACCGATCATCAAGAACACGTGCGGCGCTGCGAAACACGCTTCACTGATCCCATGGAATTCACCAGAAGATGCAGATTCTGGGCTGTCCATCGAGGTGATGTGACACAGCCAGCTTTTCCAATAACAACGTAGACATAGAGCAACCACACATGATGCACTCTCTGCCTTATTGTTCGGCCAGCTGGTTGAAGAGAGAGACTTTGCATGTCTGGCTTCCGCAACCGAAAAAGCATGTAAAGTGAGGTGCACACACACACACACACACACACACACGAACATACACATTTATGTATATATTATATATATAACTATATACACACAGAGACATTCAAACAAAACCCTCTCCAGCGGTGTGTTGCAATTCACAATTCACACCGAAGGAGAGACCTTTCCAAGAGGCCAGCGCAAGCGATTGACTCGCTCCAACACTCCTCTTCAAGCCGAACGCCTCTGCAAAAACACCCAGATGCTCGAAAAAAACTCCAGCCCTGCGTCACCGATGCTACCTCAACAATCGCCCTCCCACTACCCACCTGCGTCTGCTCGAACTGCTTTGGTTCGGAATAAAAGACCGGTCGTCGAAGGCCCCTCGACGAGACAAGTCTCTCTTGGCAGCACAGCAGGGGCACACTCGAATGTTGAATGTTCTTTGCAAAAAACGGGCTAGGCGAGGTTGCAAAAACCACACGTTTCACTTCCGTGTGCGGCTTTTCGGCTCTGAGGTGTGACATGCCGGGACTCCAGCTCCCGGTACAGCTCCTTGAGCTGGACTTTGCTTTCGTAGTGGAGGACCGTCCTAGCCCGACTTGATAGAAACAACTGCTCTCGGCCATTGCATTGCAGACAGAGGTGCTGCAATGAGACTTGCTCTCGGTACAAGCCTTTGAAACCTCAGGATGTGCATGGTCAGGGTTTGATTTTGCCAGACGACACGTCCTTCAGATTAAGAAGGGAATCATTGGCCTCAGAAGGTTCTGCACCAGAACTGGAAATCCAGCATACATTGAAACTTACGCCACATTGCAGACCGCTTGCACAGGCACAACTTCCGCAGCATTGCAGGAACACTGAAGCTCCCCAAGTCCGATCTACAAAGTCTTCTGGGCGGTGCTGAAGAATTTCGCACATTCTGATCGGCTTCTCTGACAGATTCGGACTTGCTGGAGCTTCTGGCTGCACGCATGAGGGCGCATTTGTCGCACGCACGAGGCGGTCGCGTTCACATCGAGGTCGGGACAACTTTGGCCCCTGTTACTTATCTTGAACCGGACGACCCCAAACAAGGATTGAAGTCTCTCATGAAACTGGCCAAGGGGATGTGACTGAGCTATCAAGAGACCGGTGTCAGCTTCACGGTCTTCTTGCTGTTGTCGTGGGCCTTGAAAGCCTCTGCCAGGAAAGAAGCACAGCGACAGCGTAGATGAGAGCCAATGAGAGCCCAAAATGCCTCCAGCTTCATGTAGCTCAAGAATTCCGGGACCGCGTCCTGAACAAATTTGCTGGTGTTGGTTCGGTTGACCCTTGGGCAATGTGTTCTTCTGGCCACAGCACTGCGGACAATAAAGATGGAGCCAGAGAGAGCTACATGTTCATTGTACGTGTTGCAGGCAGCAGGCAAGTTGCCCTGCAGGGGCTACTTCTTCGGTAGCCACAGACCTTTGAAGCGTCAAAACAGAATTCGGGATTCTGAAGTCCGAAAGAAATTGCTAACCGTCCAATGACTCTTTCACAACGCAAGCACCTAGTCATGCACACACAATCGGCAGGATGCCATTTTGCACAAGTGACGGCCCCTGCTCATTTGCCGACGCTTCGCTACGACCACATTCAATTTTTCCATGTAGACATCCCCTTCGACACTTTCGATGACAGCGGCTGCTGCAAACAAACTGAAAGCATACCATTCCTGGCCACTGGCGCTGAAGAACTGCAGCGCACGTGCATATCCCTCGGCAAGGACCTCGCTGTAGTCTCGGGCTTATGGACGGGGGGGGAATCAGACGCTGCCGCCGCAATGCAGAGAATCATGCCATCCACTGACCGGCTTTCATGAACTATGATAAGACTAGCAGGCCATGACAGGACAGTCTGAAGATCCACGGACATCCTTGCCATCTGCCAGCCTGTTGCCGGTACTTGAATTGGGCAACGTCGGCCTGTGTCAGCGCAAGATCGGAAGCTACAAAGATCTACAAAGTCCCTTCCTATTGCAGGCCTGGTTGGAAACCAAAGTTTGCTGTGCATCGCCCTCGGCTTTGATGACGATCTGGTGGGCGAGCTGCCTCTCCGGCGGTGCTCTGCGTCGCTCGGGCTCTCCCAGGACTGATCACGAGGTTGCTGGCTATGGCTTGTCTCCGTATGTTTTAAGTTTCTCCATGTTTATGAAAATATCAGCTTTTCATCCCCGCCTTGCGACCCAATCCTTGCGACAGCCCAAGGATTCAGAGACACCCCGCAACGACACATGACAAACACCATCAATGTGACAGTTACTGTGCCAACATAAAGCCTTCATGTCGGACCTGCTCCGTCCTTTTGAAACAAGATTTTGATTTCCTGTGTCCGTTGGTTGGCGCTGTTAACACCAGAGATGCACCATCCCTTCTTACAAAACCGTGACTCTGATATGACTCAGAATCCCTTCCATACCAAGTTAAATTTGCTCCTGTTCAACATCCTGTTGCAGCATCTATCGACATGGTTACGTTGGCCATCTAGTGCTACGAGTCGTCGCCCTCACAATCACAGCAGCAACAGCAGCAGGACAAGATGAGGAGCAGCAGCAGCAACAGCAATAGTAGCACAGGTAGCAGCACTCGACGTCGTCGTTGTCGTGGTACGTCTTAGCTTCCCAAACGTCGAAGCATGCGGAAACCGGAACCGTGAGCAGGAGTTTGGAAACTTGTGCTTCAACGTAGCAGCATGGTGCTACATGGAGGCCTCCAAACTGACACCAGCATGCCTCAACAAACAAGCCTATGCCGATGCCGCACGACGACGGCTGCCGCGGTGCTCTTTTGGTGTGGTAGCCAAGTATGTCGGAAAAATCCCAGGGCGGCAATGGAAAGAACACGACATTCGTTCGCCTCGCGCTGAAGAGCTCCGTCTGCTTTCGGATGACCTTTTTTGCGGATCGCAATTGCAGATCTAATCCCCCGCATCGTCGTCTAGGGGATAGCATGTTCTGACCCAGTAAAATGCTACTGCCCACTCCTCTTTCTTGGCCATGGCTGCATCGGACATGACGAACGTAGGAATTCTAGAAAAGTTACCGGGCGGCTGCACGAGCTGGGGCACCGTAAAACAATCTGCCTAAAGATTGGAAGGCTGTAAAAGCTGTGAAAGGGCGGGCGGGGGCGGGACTGCGGAAGTGAAATCCTACTCCAAGCTAAATCAGAACTTTTGAAGCACTTGAGCGCTCTTTGAGCACGAGAGGGTCCGGGATGCCAAATGGCTCTAATTGTACACCACATACGTGCAATATGTTGACACAAAAACAACGAACCGACCCAACCTCCGAACTTGCCAACTTGGTTGGGTTCCCTCACTTTGAAGCTGATCCTTGCCAATTGTCTGGAGGTTTGCAGGCAGAAACGGGCCTTTGTCTTGTTTTCCTGCTCCGCCACCTGGATGTCCTGCTTCATTTCCTCTGGCACGGCATTCAACTCCCCAAGCGGCAAAAGCCAGAGGCTGCAGATTTATCAGATCGTGGGTACTGTCCGACAAATCTGCAGAAGACTTTCGCAGCCGATGACTTCTTGATTGCTTGCAGTGCTAATAATTATCAGTGAAGGAAACCGCCTGCGTCTCGACGATTGCGGCAGCATACTCTTTCGGGAAATGAGCCGGCTGTAGTTGAAAGCTCATAACCTCAAGCTCAACGTCCCACTAACGAGCTGCCAGAAATTGGGGCTGAGGAGAAGGGCGCGTACACATACACATACACACATAGAAAGACACATACGTTATACATGTACCTATACGTATATGTATACCTATACGTATACAGCTACATCTATATCTATACATGTATAGACATAAACATATACAAAGACAGACACCAGACAAAGACAGGGCAATGTCTATGCTCTCGGGTCCGGGCCGCCACCCCCCCCCCCCATGCCCGGCCCGCCCCCGCCCCCGGCCCGCACCTGCCCGCACCTTCACCTGGTGCACGGATCGGGGGTATCGCACTATGCCCTGCCGTGTGCGGAAAGCGGCAATCGGCGCAGTAGTTTCCAGCATCTGACATGAATTGCGGTTGTATGGCGATGGTGATGGTGGCAGACATTCTTTCGACGGTATTAACGATGAAGATGACGGACGACAAGGATGATGTTGAGCATGGTCCATGTCCCGGTCTAGAGCAGCACAACACCATGAGCAGCATCACCGGTGCCACAACAAGAGGGAAGACAAGGAGTAACACTTAAGAACGTCGCGGCAAAAAGACCGGGGGGGAAGGGGGGAGGATACCAGGGGTGGGGCTGGGAGGGGGCGTGTGGCAGCCCTACGTGCTAGACAACTCGTTCAAGTTTGACGTGAGCACGCCCTCACCGGCAACACTGTACTCTTCAATTCACAAACCAACCGCCAGGCAACTCGTTCAGGATCGACGTGAGCACGCATTTAACTCAACACTGGACTCTTCCAATGAGAAACCAACTTTTTCCTAGGGAAAACCAAAAAACAAAAAAACAAAACATCTTTACGGCCGGACTCCCAAATATTGTTTTTTGGTTTTCCTTAGGAAAAAGATTGTTTTTGGTGGGAACACCAACTTTTTCCTAAGGAAAAAATGGTTTGGTCTGAGAAACCCACTTTTGCCCAGAAAAAAGATGGTTTTCATGGAGGGGAAAACCAACTTTTTCCTAGGAAAACAAAAAATAACAAAAAAGAACACACATCTTTTGTAAAGTATGTGGCCGGACTCCAAAAAAATTGTCTTTTTGGTTCTCCCTAGGAAAAAGTCTGTTTTTCACACCAAAACCATTTTTTCCTTGGAAAATGTTGGTTTTTCCAACAAAACCATCTTTTCCCGGGGAAAACCAAAAGATGTTTTGTTTTTTTGTTCTTTGGTTTTCCCTAAGAAAAAGTTGGTTTTCCCATTCAAAACCATCTTTTTGGTTTTTCACGTCAAAACCATCTTTGTCCTAGGCAAGAATTGGTTTTGCACCCCGTTTTCTAGCGAGGAGTGTGCATTTCATTTGTTTGCGCGCGTTACGAAAAGGTGTTGCCTTTAGGGTTAGAGTACTCTTACTACTGGGATGCGATTCCGCCAACAGTAATACTCTAGAACATATTGGGTAGTAACCAAGACAATATTCGGATCAACTTTAGGGTCGATAGGGATCTGGTTCTCACAGCTACCGCTTGATGTCTACTAGCTGACTGAAGTTGTAAACTAAATAAGAAACATCGGGGTCAGATTTTGATTGGCACTAAACCTACTATAAATGGCCTTAGGGCTGCTGTCAGGGCGAATATTACGGTCACCATTGACAGAACGGAGAATGACAAGGATGTGGTTAGGATCGATGTTGTTTGGAAACAGGAGTCAGCTAATGATCTTCGTCACTATGTTGGTACTTAATTTAAGTTTAACCTGATTCTTTACATTTATGTGTAGAGTGACACATGATTCATCGCACTCCTGCTCAAATCGGCCTTGGAACCTTTTCCTCGGCCGGCTTCGATACAAGTTTTGGCGGAAAGACCTGAGTCGCATCCTCCAGAGCAGTTCAGGCACCGTGGCTCCGTTTTGGAACGCGCAGACAGCGCCACCGGATCGAAGAGAGCCGGGAGTCAACTGCAAAGTCTTCGGGGTCCCCAACAGCGCCAGCAGCTTGTCCCAACGTCGCCTGTAGACACCCGGGCTTCCCGGATACAAAGGTTCTCCAGGAGCTAGAGCTTGCCAGCACGCTGTCAGAAAAGCACGCGCCCGAGGGTCGCACAGCTTCGTATGCTGCACGCGAGCAGCACGCCGACGGCTTTTAGGCTTGTCCACACGTACGTACAACCACGGGATGGTCCTCGTCCATCAAGTCGATCGGCGTCAACACTTGAGACCTCTTTGCACCAATAAGCTCCCCCGGCCGCGCCACACAATAGAAAGTGGCCAGAGTGACAGCAGCCCATCGCCTCCAGCGTAGAGCTAGAGCAAGCCCGACGCGATGGCTCACTGGCTCCAGCTCCTCCCAGCGACTCACCACACCGGGCGGAGAAAGGGCCGACATAGAGGGAACACTTTCTGAGCATGCGCCCGCAATTGTCTGTAGCTGCCCAGAGTGGCGCCAATGCGGTACAGCTCGTCAGCGTAGTTTCGCAAAACCAGCCCCAGCAACGTAGGACAGCTAAACAAAGCTTCAACAGCTCTAGCAGACACCTGTTCTCGGAGCTAGCCTACAAACGAGTCCCAGACCCGAACTCGTAGCGCAAGCGTCTTTGCCTCGACGAGCTCGATGTCAAAGAGAGAGCCGGTTCTCGGTCGGCGCTTTCGCGAAGGTCCAGGATTGGCCGCCTGCCCAATGCATGGGCTCGGGTCTCTGACACAGGCGCTGACAGAGCCACCTTGAAGGATGGCGTGAGCTAAAGTGTCGCACAGTCGTGGAGGGAACTTTTCTGCAAGCTTCGTCCAGCTCGTTTTCGAAGTAGCACAACGGCCCCGTAAAACCAGACTCTCATGCCCACCCGAGCACAAAGTGGCTGCGTGAGCCAACTCTGTGTTGGTGAGCACGCGCGTCCTCTTCTTCCATGGCTGGCCGAATCTGCAGAAGTCGAAAGTCCAGAAGCACAGGGCAGCAGTGGTCTCAACCAGCTCAGCTAGTTCAGGTTGCTTCCACAGCCAGCTTGTGTCAGGGTTGGCCAGCCAGAACGGGACCCCTAGCTTACATAAAGCCTTAACGAGACGAACGACGAAAGCAAGATGCTCATTGCCTCGACGGACCTTTGCAGCGGCACTGCTGAGCTGAAACTCGGGCAAGAAAACCCTAGACCCACACCACAAAAAGCACCATCATCCAAGAGTGCAAAAAGTTGCGCTTGAAGCGAGGGGCAGAGCAGATCCTGCTGCGGGCCGTGTGCCCAATCGAAGGTCAAGGCCCAAGCACAGCCGGAGCGTACAACGGCCTTTGCTATACTCCGCGGGAGCCTGCGTACAAGCAGAGGTAGCCCGCTGCACTCGGCGCACAAGGCCAAAGGAATTGCCGAGCTGGGACGTTCCGCAAAGCCGTCTGGCTGCGCACACTAAGCGAGCCGGCAAGGGGGAGAGGTTTCTCAGCTGAGGCACAGATCCTAGACCCACCTAAGGGAACATCGGGACTAAACCCTAAAGAACCACTGGGAAGCGTAGAAGTTGGAGCCCCAGACACTCCAGAAGTGCTCGGAGAAAGCGGTGCAAACTGCATCCTCGCTCTCACCTCTTTCAGCACGGGCGTTAGCAAAGGCTTCGGCATTCTTCGGAATGTCAGCAGAAGTCCCTGGCATCGAAGCTGACGCGAAGCTCGTCGAACCCTGAGAGTTGAGAGGGATGGAGCTGCAGCTCCTGCAAGAACGAGTCGAGTATGCTCAAGTCGCCACTCTCAGCACACTTCATCCACAGCGGCTCGGGGCAACAAGGTTTGCGAATCGGACGCAACCTTGTAATTAGGATCATCGGCAGGATTTTCACAGGAGGCCACATAGGCGTAGCACGGGTGCAGATTAAAGAAGAGAACCCCCGGCAAAGAGGCGCGGAGGCGACAGTTGAGAGAAAAGGAGGCGCTGCGCCCCTTCAAAAGGGCACCGATACACACTTGCGAATCCAGCAGGGAGACGGTGCGACGACTTTCCCAAACAGTAGGACCACATACGAATCCATCTCTTCCAGGTTTATGTGGTCTCGGCGACGCCTCCGAAACACCGCCTTCAGGCGGAAAGCTAAGCACCTAGCAAGGTCAGACCATACCGGGTGAGTGGGGTAGCCTTCCCCTGGCAGTTCTGTAGAGGCAGGCAGCACACCGTTTCCCCTAAGGAGAGCGTCCACCGGAGCCAGCAATCTCGCCCAATGCCCCTTGATCGGAACATGTCTCTGCAACTCGCGGCAAAGAGCAGGTGCAACAGCTGTAGTGACCACAGCCCCGAGATCGTCCGAAGCATCCGTAGCGACCAGGAGGCCAGAAGACGTCGCAAGCAAGTCGGTGCGCACAAGAGGTGCGAAGGTGCCCAACGGAAAAACTCGGCACGCAAAGGAACCGAAAGAGCCAAAAGATCAGAGCGAGCGCGATCGCGTTGTGCGCGGTGCACCTCCTCAAGCAGGCACATAGCTCGACGCTTGAAGGAGAAGACTGCAACCCAAGAACCCTCCAGAACCTCTGACACAAAGGGCGAAGTCATCACCGCCAAAGTCAAGGCCACGAGAGGGATCAGACGGGCCCAGCAGGGCCGTTCCAGACCTGCATCGCCAAAAGATCAGCACCCCAAAACGAGGCATCATGCTGCATGTAGAAAGCCTTCTTTTCATGCCGCGGAAGGTGCACTGCCTCATAGGCTAGCCTGAGTTTTTTGATCACCAACGGGCTCCGACAAGAACCGACGTCGATCGTTTTCCCACGCAGAACTCTCCAACATAAAAGGACCACGCGGGACACGACCCCGGATGGAGAGGACATGCTCGAAATCCACACCGAGGTACTGCAGGGCTAACCCGACATGTGCAGCCTGACCTATAGACACGGAGTTTGTGTCGCCCATGGCCATCGTACCCAAGGCCACGGAGACATGCCGCCATTGCCACATGTGAGGCTTGAATGCCGAGAGGTGTTGCAGGTCCTCAGGTTTGAAGTCGCCGACGACCCGCCGTCACAGCAAACTGATGGTAATAGTCCTTTATATCCTCGCCTGAAGCAACAAGCGATTCGCACGGTGAAAGTTCTATACCCAGTAAGCTTTCAGCAGACGCCAGCAACGATAACCAACGATTGTCGGAGGCTATGCAAAGGTTGCCTGGCCTCGCGTCGACGATTAACCTGTCCGCTTGTATGCTTTTCGGCAAAGCGAACAGCCCGCACGCTGTCCTGGGGTCATGGGCCTCTGCATCGAACAAGCGCAAACGCCCAGCCTGATCCAAGGCACTCAAGAAGTCCAAGCGAGCCTGCTTGTTAGCAGCACGAGACTTTACACGAGGTGGAGGGGAAGCTGCTTCCTCCAGAGGCACAGAGAAGCGCGATGGCGAGAGAAAAAGCTCCCGCATCGGGCGATCCAGCAGGGAGCTGGGATCGAAAGCCGGAGGCTCCGGAGGCAAACTGAGACGGCTCACATCGACCTCCTTCGCCAGGTTAAGGTTTGGCACAGAATCAAGTTGCGGAGCAGCGCCACCCACTTTGCCAGCCGTACGTCCCATAGCCTCAGCGGTCACAGGACCATACGAGTTCCAAGCAAAGACTGCCTCGCTGATTCGAGACCAACCCCGAGCCAGCGGAGCAGCCAAAGAGCTCACCGGAGCAAAAAGAAAAGACCGACCCGGCCCGGACCCGGTGAAGTCCAAGTTCTGCCCACCTCGCATCATACAATCGTGAGTGGTAGGTTTCAAGCGGGTCATGAGACGAAGTGCGGCGAGACGCAAAGGAGGCCATGGGCGGTAGCCGCTCCAGACTGAACTGATCGGCCAAAACCCAACTCCCATTGTCAAGTGACTGCTGGTCTGCACATGCCACTCCCAGTGCAGCGCGTGCTCGCGCTTCCGCCACATTTTCATTCCGCAATGCATCCCAGACTCCGCAGAGAATCCAGGTGAGTCTGACCGTAGTGCCATAGCCTCCAAGGTTGGAGCGGTGTTCCAACCAAGCTCTCGACGAAGCATAGGAACCTGCTAAGTCCGTCCCCTCGCGCCGGTGAAGGAGGTATTCGGTGAGGAGCCGTTCGATAGTCGTGTAGATGGCCTCAGGTTCATTCTTAAGAGCATTTTGAAGCAGACGGCCGGAGGAAGACCCACCAGCTTCGAGTGCAGCAAGAGAAGAACCTTCAGCTCGATCGAGAACCGCTTCCAAACCTCCCCGACGATCAGAGGCGGCCCGTTTTTGCTTTGACAAGTCGGCCACGATCCGCGTCAGGGCAACCACACCTGATTCGATGGGTGTGCCATTCGCCCCAAGTTCAAGATCATCAAGCTGCCCAATACCAAGGCTCGCCTGCGACCGGGCGTCAAGCTCCGAAGGAGGCCCAAGAGGCTGAGCAGCAGTCGGGGCCGCTGTGTAGTCGCCGAGTGCGGGCCGCTTGCTTGTCAACAAACCTTCAAGTTCCTGAAGCTCGTGCTGGCCAATGCCGCTCTCCCGTGCAGCCCGAACAACGGCAGGGTCAAATCCAGGCAAGTCGCGAGCAGCACCGTGGTGGACCGGGGTGCCGGGCACTGAGCCAGGCTTCGCAGTCTTCTGTCGAGAAGGGCCAGCGGCATTCTTTGCACGCGGTGCAGCAACTCCTTGAGGCTTCTGAGAGGGAGCTGCACCAGTGACAAAGTCGGTCAGCTTTGCAATCGAGGCCTCTAGGGCACTAAGGCGAGCCTCGAGATGATCAGGCGCAGAAGGCGCAGTCACAAAAGAAAACTGGCCATCAGCAGCTTGCACAAGGCCCGCTGCCAACGGCAAGATGAACTGAGAAGAAGAATCTTGGAAAGTGACATCGCTTTTGTCAGCCTGCCCGCCGAAGACAGCCGCATCGGCAACATCCCGACTCAACAACCCAATCCAAACTTTGAGATTAATGCCTGCAGGCTGCTCCCTATCTTCAAATGTAGCAGCTGCAACTTCGATCATAGTAGGCTTTGCAAAGGGGCCCGAAGGAAAGCGACGATTGCTGTCCTTCCGATCCCAAGCCTTTCTAGGGAGGGCTGCAACCACACGGTTGCCTTCAAAAGCCGAAATCAGGATTACTGAAACCGTTTTGGGAGCATCCCGGTCTCCCACGGAGAGAACACCAACCTCATACTCATGCTGTACAATGCCCCCATGAAACACGTAGTTAATTTCATGCGGCTTTTCGGGCAAGCTCTCCGAGCCTGACCCATCACCTTCATCGCCGTCCTTCGCTGACATTGCTGGGAGGGCAGCTGAGCAGCAATGCAAGCGGCTTGGGCTTCCCAGAGTGAAGGGAACCCACAGAAGATCGAATCTCCTAAGGCGGGTCTCCGAGAAGGAGTGCAGCAGCAAAGGAGGCTTATACCGAACCCCAGAAAACCCTTGAACTACCACGTAAACCCGAGAGGCCAAAGGATTGCGAGACCTTCCCGACTGCCTGCGGTGGCCTCCGTCCAGCGCTCGGCGGAAGAAAGCTCCAATGTCTGAAGCGATACGGCGTCGCTCCTCCTCGCTGATGGTCTGAGAAGGGGGCACTCGAACAACAGGAGCCGAGGACGAAGATGCAGGCTGTTGGGAAAGGGACAGGTGTTGCACAGGACTAGGGTCTAGGCCGCGGTTGCGCCCAAGGGGACTAAACCCTATAGGGTACCCCTAGCGGGAGGGGTTGTGTGAGCAGGATCGACCCTTGAAGCTGAAGGCTGAGATGCGCTCTCCCACTCCAGGAGATCGAAGTCCACAGCACCCGAATCCAGCCGGGAACGAATGTAAGCAAGGTCCCGCCCCTGCTGCCGCACCTCTAAAGTCAACTCTTGCAAAGCCTCGGCGAGAAGTTGAAGGCGTGAGGCCAGAGAGGCGTCACTCATGAAAGAACCATATAAAGAGGTCCGGAGGCACGCTGTTGCTGCACACGAACGCGCACGAACGCACCCCAAGAAACCCTTAAGTAAAACCGGAGATCTATGAGTGGCCCCAGCAGCAAGCCAGCCAAAATGCCCCAAGCGAAGCTCGGCAGATGAAGACTCTCGATTTCGAGGTTTGGGCAGAGAGGGCAGCCCAGCGACTCCAGGCCAGGAACGTCCTCGGAGCGACCCAGCTCCTCCAAGAATCGCAAAGCTATCGAAGCGAAGGGTCCTCCTAGCAGAGAAAGCTGAAGAGGCCGCACGGCCATTCGACCCCAAAAGCTGCCCATACGCACGACAAATCATGTGAAGATATGTGAAGTCATGAATGTACACACCGCATACGGGCAAGTCCGACAGCAAGTCTGACAGCGAGAAAGGGGGCGCCATGTACTATATGTTGAGGTAAGCAAACAAATGCTGGTATAATCCCTACAATCGAAGGGCCATCCTTTGGGAAACACCAGAGCGAAAACAGCAAGGATCGCGGTTCTTAGTGGAATCCGTTTCGTGTAGTTTAATATTAGCATGAATATGACGGCAACCGTTGACGCAAATGTTTGGGCAGTATTTAGCTTACATGTATTAATATTAACAGTAACTAGTAATAGTGCTCCAACCCCTCCACACCGTTTTTGTCACGAGCTGCGCTAAAGAGCGGTAATGATCATTTGTCAGCGACAAAGATGTGAAAACAAGGTGCGCGGCCGACCCCCGGAAAAGCGACGCGCCCAGAGAAAGCCCGCAAGCGGCCACCACGCCCCTCGGGCACGCGCACCCGGAGGCCAGCGCACCAAACAGCACAAGCCACAACCTTCCCGGCTGTCCCCGCAACAAGGGTCAATACCCAAAAGCAGCCCCTGGCATCCGAAGCGGGTGCCGCACAGCCAATGCCAGGTCCCCACGTGGTGGTGCACAGGGGTGGAAGGAGGGCCAGGCCGAAACTGCGTGACACGGGGAGTCGCACTATCGAACAGGGGACTGCTTTCTAGTGCTCCAACCCCTCCACGCCGTTTTTGTCACGAGCTGCGCTAAAGAGCGGTAATGATCATTTGTCAGCGACAAAGATGTGAAAACAAGGTGCGCGGCCGACCCCCGGAAAAGCGACGCGCCCAGAGAAAGCCCGCAAGCGGCCACCACGCCCCTCGGGCACGCGCACCCGGAGGCCAGCGCACCAAACAGCACAAGCCACAACCTTCCCGGCTGTCCCCGCAACAAGGGTCAATACCCAAAAGCAGCCCCTGGCATCCACCCCACCCTTTCGGCGCAGCTAGTAGCCGACTCAAGGAAAGGATAAGGTGAGGAAGGCAGAAGGAATGGACACGGGAGGGAGGGCGGGGAAGAGTCAAATGACTCATGGAGCTCAGATGTTTTGGTAATCCGCTCTGGCTTTAGTGGCTAAGGCCTGCACCTGCCGAAGTTTGCCCGGTGGCAACTGAAGCTCAGACAACTGAGCAAGGCCATCACAAAGGTAGATGCGAGCGGTTCGTACCGCAGACCAGCGCCCACGAAGGCAAACACTGGCCAAATTATTAGAGCGGCGGAACTCGTGGGTGGCACCGCCGCGACGGAGGGAGTACCAGCGGTAAGGGGCCGTAATCCCTAACTTCTGCAGCAGCTCACTGAGGCGTTTGCGTTGAAGTCCCGGAGACACTTGGGACAACAAGTCCCCAGGCTGCTTGTGTTTGCAGAAGTTGGCGACGGTCGTACCTACAAAGAAGTCATCAATGGTCAGTGACTCCACGGCCCCTTGCCGTTGACCACTTTTGCTCATAGGAAGTGTCCAAGTACCTTTGCCACGAGACAAGACGAAGTCCCCCGCAAAGAGTTCTCCCGACCGTGCAAAAGTGTGAAAGCCCAGCAAGAACAGCACCGCCGTGTCTCTCCAACCCGCTTCAAAAGCCAGCTGAGCAAGGGCATAGATCAAAGCCACTGTAAAGGGAGGTGCCCGAGCTGGAAGTTCCGAACGGCCCCATGCTGCATGAAGCCGCCAACTTGCAATGAGATGGGGTTTAACCGAAGGGATGAAATGACCGAGCCCACTGAGGGTATCACTGGCATATGCCTTGGGGCCCCCATCCTGCCACAGCTCTTCAATAAAGGATGGGGCTGTTGGAGCTGCCACTGGATGGTGGGGTGGTGCTCGCGGCCAGGGCTCGCACGCAAGCCCTTCGCAAGCAAGCCGTAAACCTTATAACGCAGCGCGTGTTCCTGTTTTGAGTAACCTTAACTTGTACTTCAAACCCTATACCCAACCCTAAACCCCACCTAACTGCAGGCATCTGCAGGCTCTAAGCCTAAAGCAGAAGATACACCGCAAATCCTCCCCAAGCCCTTGTCGACTCGAAGCGCTATAACCGTAAACCCAACACTCAAAAGCTTAATCTAAACCCTAAACCCCAAAACCGCACAACCACCCCACAGGGGGAAGAGGGACCCCACACCCCACACCACAGGGGAGGGGGGGTCCCAACCCTATATCCGGACCATTGACCTTTGGGGGGGGGAGGGGGGGGGGCCGCGGAGCGCGTGACCATATATATATATATATATATATATATATATATACGTACAAAAACACGTGCATATACACATACAGATATGTATAAATATGTATACATAGTCATACGCATACATGTATACTTATCGTGCACCCCACAGCACCGGCAGCAAACCATCGCTTGCACACATTAGCATACTGACCGTCAGACGAGGGAACATCACCTGCCTCGCACACTGGCAGACGCTCACCAAAAATATGCGGTAACGATTGCCGATTGCAATTATACGAAAAAAAGCAGAACAACTGCCTTGCACCCAGCACCACAGGCAGTCTTGGATGATGAATGACCTTGCCTCTCGAATGATACCACAATGCATGTCGCGACTCCTCAAGCCGAGAGACGTTAATGTAGAGTCTCTGCGCCAACTCTTGTGTGAGCGCCTCCTGTCACAGCTATTCTTTACTCGTGCACTGTTTTGTCGGGCAGGCATCGATATACTTGGTTGCCAAGCAATGTCACCACACAAAGCTCAGCGATAGCAAGCGGCGCTGGGAGTAGTTGTCTCTGTCTCTCTCCTTCTTTGTCCTATCTTTGCTATGCTGGGGGCTTAAACGGCAGGCAACCCCTCAGTCCCTTGCAGTGCAGGCTCCATTCGCGATCGACAGCGCATGCGGATCCAGCAAAGCATCGACGCCACAGTGCGCGCCGTCCCCTTGCAAGCCAGCCTGGAAGGCACTGGCCACGCCGCCCCGGTCGCCATAAAATGCCTCACCACCGATCTTACAAAGGCATAAGACATGATCAGAGGCGGCTGAAAGAGAGCTCCTGGGCTGAGAAGTTCGTGGCATGCGCCGCAATCGTGCCACTGGCAATGTGGACCAAAGTATTCCTGCCAAGAGCAGGGACAGTTTGAAGACTACCGACTACAGACGAGGCATCATTGTGGTCTATGCAAAGAGCAACTAAACTGCGCGGCCGCAGAGCCGAAGCGTAAGGAACTATGAACCGCAGCAACTCTGTACATTGGCTTGCAAACTGTCAAAGCGAGCCGTGCTGTGCTGATAGCTTTCAGCACCGACCAGCATGTAGAGCGACCGAAGGTTGTTCATCCTGATCTCAACTAGAGCAAAGCTGCTGAGCCTACAGCTGGGAGCGGACGAGGAACGAGGCAAGAAGACGTGACGTTTTTGAGGCCAGGTGCTGCAGCCGGAACACGAACTCGAGCTCGAGGGTAACCTGCCCCGGGATTCGTAAGCGAGGCATGTCGCAGTTTGGTGGCTACAGTGTCATGCGCTGCACCCCCCAAAAAAAACGTTACAGTACGCATCACAGGTGGGACGGCCGAGGGTTACTGAAGCCTTCGACACAGACCAGCTAGCAAGAGGATATTTTTATGTCAGACAAGACTTTGGGAACCTGTTTCCCGTGATGGTACTTCGTCAAGCACTGAACTTACCTTCAGACCATCGCTGGTGCGGACGATCAAAGGCTTCTCGTAGACATCCTCCTGGTGAGCGATCAACTGAGTGATTTGTGTGCCGTTGCCCCAAACTATTTCTGCACCTGCACCCGCTGACCGTCCTGCGTGGGTTGGAAGGAGCCATCGAAATTTCGAAAGTAGCCTCGGTCAGAAGAAAAGCCTTCAAGCCTTCTCCACCGGATCTGAAAAGGATCCAACACGAAGATCCCCGCGAATAACATCGTTGTAACCAATGATGAAACTCGTGGGTATATTGGCTACGTACGTGCAAGAAAACCAGACACAGTACACAATTGCCTGGTTGGCAACTACATAACACTTTCGGAAAACGCAAGCAATCAAACCCTTCGTCGA